ATTCCTGCTTTCTCTTCTGTGGATTTCTCTGACCACTACCTGCAGCCTCGAAGGGTGAGTAGCATCAGTCTTTCTGAGACTGCTCAAGGCAGCTTCTAGCATTTGAAAAGCATTTTTTCTGAGGAGTGAAAGTAATTGCTATTCTATAAAAAAGGAATTTCAGGCAAGCATGACTAGGTTTAGAGAAGGGGATCTCTGGGGAGTATCCTAGAGGTGGTTAAGTCTCATTAATAAGCCTGTTTCCTGTTGCTGTTTCATGAGTGTTTGATTTACCGGTTGAATGCAGCTGAATTCACCTACTTAAATATGTTAGGTCCTTCCATGAGCCCCAAGCTTCTTTCCTTTGTGTTCCTTTGTTTTAGAGCAGTTGAGAATAGGATATACAAATTTTGCTCATCACTGTTCATAGGTGATTCTCTAATGTGTTGTAGCACTTACCCCATCATATTATATGGGTGCAGCAGCTCCTACAGCATTATTTTATTTCTCTTTTAGGTGTTGTGTTTATCTCTGCCCAGGTTTTCGCTTTCTGTACTGAGTTATTGTTCCCTCAGCTCCAGCTCTTGGTCTGTTCTGAATCTTTACTTCCTTTTATACTTCCCCAGGTAACACTTTGTCTTAGGGGGGTACAATTTTGTACTCCCAAATGCATACAGGTACAAAGGTTCCTTCTCTGTCAGGGAAACCTTACCATTCTTCTTCCTATTTTGGGCCTTCTGTCTTGGCTGGCATGTCAATTTTACAACAAAATTGTGAGATGAAGATAGGGGTATCTAGCTGTGTCCTAGTAGATGAAGGCCCCTGCTTGTAATCTGACATGGTGGATTGGAAGTGTTTATCACATTGCAGACTGTGATTTGTAATCTGTCTGCTCAGCTTTGTTTTATTTAGGTGTTCATCTCAACCCCTTATAAGTGAAACTAGTTACAGTTCAGATTCAAACCCCTCGTCCTTCTTGCCTACACCAGAATTAGCATATTTATAGATAGTATAATTTTTCCTCTTTAGATGATCTTTTTCTCTTGAGCTGCACTTTAATTTGTTTCAGTAAGAAGCTTGACAGGCTACCAGGTGCCTCTAGCATCTTTCTGGAAGTGACTTGCACATTAGCATAACAGAAATGTTCTTACAGTGCTGCAGTGAAGCCCTCTCCAACCTCCCTCACTGTTTGCAGATGATCTGGCCAGGTTTAGAACTCTATTTACTGCTGAGATACCACTGTTGGTCCCCAAACCCAGTGGTGCCTCAGCAGCTTTCACAGCTGCTCTTGGGAGGGCAGCTAGGTAACCATGTTTGCTGATGGGTGACATTGCACTGATTTGGAGTAAATACCTACTAAGAAAAAATAAGAGTTCTATTAGGTGTCCTGGTCATATTGATGGCATAGATAAAGGAATTATCTTTTCTATCACTTAAGCATTTCCAATGCCCTTGGGCAGGATATGGCTCACCTAGGTAGATAACATATAAACCTTCCAATCCTTTTGGATATCATTTCATCATAATTTTAAGGAAGTATGGGCTGGATTAAGGAAGTATGGGCTGGATGAATGGACTGTACAGTGGATAGAAAGCTGGCTGGAGCACTGGGCTCAGTGAGTAGTAATCAAAGGCTCGATGTCTAGTTGGCAGCCAGTATCAAGTGGAGTGCCCCAGAGATCAGTTGTGGGGCCGATTTTGTTCAGTGTCTTCATCAGTGACCTGGAAGATGGCATAGAGTTCACCCTCAGCAACTTTGCAGATGACACCAAACAGGGGATTAGTAGATACACTGGAAGGTAGGGCTAGGATTCAGAGTGACTTAGACAAATTGGAGTATTGGGCCAAAAGGCACCTCATGAGACTCAGCAACGACAAGTGCAAAGTCCTGCACTTAGGACGGAACAATCTCATGCACCAGTACGGGCTGGGGGCTCACTGGCTGCAGAAAAGGACCTGGGGGGTTACAGTGGACAATATGCTGGATATGAGTCAGCAGTGTGCCCTAGTTGCCAAGAAGACTAATGATATACTGGGCTACATTGGTAGGTGTGTTGCCAGTAGGTCAATGGAAGTGATTTTTCCCCTCTATTCAGCACTGGTAAGGCCACTTCCGGAGTACTGTGTTCAGTTTGGGGCCCCCACTACAAAAAGGATGTAGACAAATTAGAGAGAGTCAAGCAGAGGGTGACAAAAATGGTGAGGAGGCTGGGGGACATGACTTGCGAGGAAAGACTGCAGGAGCTGGGCTTATTTAGTCTAGAGAAGAGGAGACTTAATAGCAGTCTTCAACTACCTGAAGTGGGGTTTGAAAGAGAATGGAGCTAGGCTATTCTTAGTAGTGGCAGATACCAGAACAAGGAGCAACAGTCTCAAGTTGCAGCAAGGGGAGTTTAGGTTAGATATTAGGAAGAATTGTCTCACTAGGAGGGTAGTAAAACACTGGAACAGGTTACCCGGAGAGGTGGTGGAAGCTGCATCCTTGGGAGTTTTCAGAACGCGGCTAGACAAACCTTTGCCTGGGATGATCTATTTGGGGCTGGTCCTGCTCAGAGCAGGGGGTTGGACTAGATGATTTCCTGAGGTCCTTTCCAATCCTAACTTTCTATGATTCTGTCAGAGGAAGGGGTGTTACCACTATGTGGGGATAATAGCAGGGGGTTGTATAGAGCAGTGGTTCTCAACCTTTTTTGTACCATGACCCATTTACAAACACCGATGGCCAGTCAGGATTTTCCCTGGGATAGAAGTTAGACTAATTAGCCTATAGTTGCCCAGGTCCTCTCTCCTCCCCTTCTTGAAGATGGGCACAACATTGGCCCTCTTCCAGTCTTCAGGAACCTCCCTCAAGCTCCATGACCTTTGAAAGGGTTTCGCCAGAGGTCCCACGATGACTTTGGCCAGCTCCTTCAGCACTCTCAGATGAAGTTCATCCAGTCCTGCTGACTTATAAATGTCTAACTTTTCTAATTGATCATATACCAGCTCAATGTCAACAGTAGGAAGGCGGTCATTCCCACCATGCCCATTTTGAACCTTTTCTAGTATGATTTTCCCCTTAGTCTGGTGAAATACCAAATCAAAGTAGTCATTCAGGAGTTCAGTTTTCTCCTGACTGTCAGTAACAAGCTGTCCTGAGTTAAGCAGTGTCCCCATGCTTCCATTTGTTTACCTTCTGTTCCCTATATGCCTAAAGAAGGACTTCTTATTGTCCTTGATTTCTGTTGCTAGTTTAAACTCTTGAACTTGGACAGTGTTGTATGTGCAGCGGTTACAGAAAGGGCAGGTTGTACAGTAATAATGGAAAGCCTGAGTAGGGCCGAGCTGCCTTTCATTAATATGACGGGGGTTGAAAATGATTCAGGCTCAGATGCGTGCTACTTAGCAATGGTTTAAAGTGGTGAAAAGAGGTTTGAAGGCTTGGGTTCCCTGTCCAAGGCATTTAGCACTCGAGGATTTCTCCTGTCTTTTGGAAGGGTAGGGAACTAGATAAATAGCTCTCTAAGTTGGTTGTTTCCAACGTTGGTGGTGGTCCTTGTATCACTCTGGGCTATGCACAGATCTATGGTCTTTACAATTAGAAGTTTGATCCATGTAGGTCTATAAGAAATGCTGAGGGTTAACAGTGATCCATTGGTACAAAAGTTCCTGGGAAACCACAGGTCTATGTGATATCCTTTGCTTCTTGTAAAGTTGGGGAGCTTGTTCTCTGGGGAAAGGGAAACAAGCTGGCTGAGGTTGATATTTTTAGTAAACTATACATGGAGAAGTTATTACTTTCCCTTGTTCTTGTTGAAGTGAATCAATTCTGTAGTATCTCTCTTGAGTGTTAAAACTTCCTGAAGAAATACCTCAAATGCTCAGTTCCAATTTGGTATAACTAGGGCAGCCTTTAATTTTTAACTGGCTTTCAATTAAAATTACACAGCTGTACTTAGGTGTGTTTAATGGATTTGGTTGTGCGTTGAGCCCTGCTTTCAGAAAGATGCAAGCTGCACTTGGCCATCTCCTGCCCTCACCACACTCTTGTCTGTGAAATATTTAAATGCACACCTTTTTAGTTGCTGCTCTTTTCTTTCAAAGCTTCATTTTTATCCCAAGGGTAAAGAAGAATCCCTTCTCTGTCTGAGAAATGAGACTTGGAATGCGATGTCAGCAGAGTGGCTCTGCCGTTCTTTCCCCTTTGTTCACTTTTTTTCATGCTTCAATGATGATTTTTCTTTCAACTAGTCAAGTAGCCAATGACAGTTCAGTTATTTATATGTTGAGGGTCTGGTTTTATCCCTCCCTGAAAAGTGAGTGGCTTAGTAGTAAGAGCAATGTCTGAGAGAAGCAACCAAAGCACTTGTACCTATTTACACTTGTCCTCCTTTTCCAGAGTCTCTGTTGGAATATCAACATACTATTAATAAAAAAGAAGTGTATTGCAGTCAAAAGCAGGATTCGAACCTAGTGCAGTTAAGGATTGACACAACACCGTGTTTGATTAATGACAGAAAGGCTTTAATAATTATGCCACAAACAAGCTAGAAAACTAAATGACAGAAAGACTCCTTCCCAATATTCAGTAAATGAGCTATCACAAAAGTCCTAGTATATGTTAGCTGCAATAGTGTCTCTCACCAAAGCAGGAAGAAAGCAGTTTCAGTCTTTGCTGCCTTCTCTGGCATGGATCCTTCCTGGGGAGTGATCAGCTGGACTCAGGTTACAATGTTGCAGTGATTTCTTGCTCTCCTGGAGTGCATCTTGCCAGCAACTCTATTTCATTCTTATACTCTTCAGCTGTATAGCTACAAAACATTCCTCCTTCATAGTTGGTCAGTTTAAAGTCTGAACAAAGCAAGTAGGGAGGGACCATCATCTTATAATAGCTAACTGTTTGGATCCTGTTTTCGGTTTTCCAGTTGTGAAACTTGTTTTTGCAAGCTTTAGATCAGTCCAGAGCTTATACTTCAATCAAATGGGATGACTCTTGATTTGAATGCCTGTTCCAAGAAATATGACTCAAGCAAGGGAGGGTGTGTCAACAAGGAGGATAGTCACCTAGGGATATGCAGTTATTTATTACTGGTTTA